TGACCACTGGGTCAAGGTAACAATGTTTTCCCCTGCCTCCCAAGAGAGCTCACTCCATCCTCTCTGCAGCTTCTGGAACAAGAAAGCAGAGCTCTGCTATCTCTATGGCACCTGGGTAAAAATTAAAGAAAAGTTTGCCCTTCTGGCAGCAAATCCCCTTTACCATGCTAGACCAGATGGCAAGCCAGCAGAGTCCAAACCCAGGCCCACTCCCCCCTCTACTGGTCACCTGTGTGCAGTGCATAGACTATACAACAATACCAGTAGCTCTACATGGAATGGAGCTGACTCCTGTAGTCTTGGGATAACTGCCCTTTGCCCCTTTTTAACTGGGGAAGTGGCCTAATGTGTGCTTCCCTGAGAAGAAACCTCTCTGGAGGTGACAATAAGCAAAGATGGCCTTTGGTGGCCCCAGGCTCAAGGACATGCAGCTGTCTTCTAAAGTGATGGCTCTCAGCCTTGGCTGCACACTGGATCACCAAAGCAGCTTTAACAACTCCCAGTGACCACCATTCAGGCCAGACTGGTTACACTGGAGCTGCTGGGGTGAGAGTTTTCAAAGCTCCCCAGTGTGGGCCAGGGTGGAGAACCACTATTGATGTAAGAATGTTCAAACCTATAGAGAATGTTTATAAAAATTTTATTTGAGACAAACAGAATACATGTGGAAGGAAGATCTCAAAAGACTGAAATAAATGCCTCCAAAAAATGACAGTTGGTAGCTTCTTTTATCTATTTGGAATTAACAAGGGAAGTAAGGAAGTTTACAAGAAGGTGAGAGAAAGCCAAGTGAGGATCAGATTACAGGATAGTTAACAAGATTATGGGTTCTATCAAGGATAGTTACAGTTTATTTGCAAGGTGTGTTAACCCAGATGCACACAAACAATGGGCAGGGCTTGCTTAAGGCAAAGAAAAACTTTTTACTAAAGAAGCGATATGCCTGGGTCCTGACTACCTACTTTGACCTGCCCAGTTAGGAACTTATGATCAGATCACCCTATGAGGTTACTTTCCATAGAATCTCTTTTTCATCTATCTACCAGTGTAAAGTCATCCTGGCTCTGGACCAACTCATATAGGTGGGTGACCATCCTACCAAGAGGTGAATTTCAGCAGATGCCTTCCGGAGAGTTCTACCCACTAATTCTCTCCACTCACTCTTCAGTGCCTCATGGTGCCTGGCCCAGAGCAGCCCTTAGAAGTTGATGAAATCATACAAGGCAAGAAACAGTGAGGAACCCAGAACCACTGCTGGGGAGGGGCAGTACTGTGCCACAGGCACAGAACAGTTGGAAAGGGGGCCCTCTCTCTGTAAGTAAGGCCCCTCCTTGATCTCAGCTTCCTGCAAGTAAAGGGAGTGGGACAATTCCTTTAAACAAATGTTTATGCAGTAGGCCATGTGTTTAACAGATCCCCTAGCTCTGCTCTTGTCTCACTCCACCCTCCCTCCCTCCCAGCAGCCTCAGAGGACATGAAGGGCTCTCAGAGCCCTGTGGAGTAGGGTTTGTAAATTCAGGAAGGAGGGGGCTCTAATGTCCCTTCCAGGTGGACCCATGGATCTCTTTACACAGAGAAGTACTGGAACCTGATCTGAGGGCAGAGAGAAGGAAAGAGCTTCTTTGTCCAGCTCCATGTCCCCCACCACTCTGGAGTCCAGAGTCTGGACTGGCTCCTGACCTTTTCCCAGCTTTACTTCTGGGTTTAAGCCCAGAGCCTCTGTAGCTTTGTCCAATTCCAATGCTAATCCTGGGAAAAGCAGACAAAGTGATTTAATGTCATCGGGGTAAACAGCTGCACAGAAAATGCACTTGGGATGATTTCTTAACCACAACAAGTGTGAGAGGACCCAAACTAAGTCTTCAGGGCATTTTCCTGCCTTTGGCTTGGAGAAAGTGGTCCAGGCTGCATTATTCACGGGCTACATGATTTCTCAAGACCTTGTCACTGGCCACAGGACCTCACCCTGTGACCCTAATGTCTTTGTGAGATTTTCCAGCTCTAGGAGTCCTTCCCACTCCTATGTGGCCTCTGTCCCAGCCTGACCTAGCCTCAAACTGTCCTAAAATGAAAAGGAGTGCAATTCTGTCATTCAGTGGAGTGTGTTGGTGTTACTGAACAAAGAGGGGGTGCCTAGGATGATATACTATTACTTGAAAGGAACCCCCCCAGGTCCGTTATGTCTGTCACCTATAGGAAAGATGTCTCTCAATGCCAGAGATTTGTGAAAAGGAAAAGAAATGTTTATTTAATGCTATACAAACTTAAAGTAGTGACCTAATGTCTTCATCAAAATCCTAAAGTTTCTTAAAACACCCACAAACATACACAGTCCTTCCTTCCCTCTTTGCCCAGTCTGGGGTACTGTATCTCAGGAAAGGAAATAGAAGTCCGTGGCTCAGGCAGCCCCCGGTTCTCCTCAGTAATCTGTCTGGGCTGGTAGGCCTCCCTCAGTTCCTGGCACCGTCAGCTGTGTTGCTGGGATCTCTGCTAAAGCCGGGTGGTGGTTCCCCCTACTAATGCTGCGGGGGTTCTACTCTGGCAAAGGCGCATGGTCCTCTCTCCACTGCCCCAGCCACGTGGTTCTCTCTCCCCCAGGGCCACGGGAGTCCCCACTCTGCCAAAGCTGCATGGTTCTCCCTCTCAATGGCTGCCGTGTCTGGGTTTAAATCCCCGCACCAATCTTCCTCTGCAGCCCCATTTCCAATTCCTCCTACAATCGGCCACACATGCCAGAACTCATATCCTTCCAGGTTTACTGGACTGCCATCATGAGTCTGGGCAGGTGTGGCCCCATGTCATGGAGCCAATCATCTCCAAGCTCCCACGCAGGCACTGTAACTTGGGGGACCTGCCCCCCAGTTATACCTTGGTGGGGTAGTTACTTCCATTCCCCTGGCTCAGAGCTTGGCCACAGCTATTCAACATACCTGTGCAACCAGTTAAAGGTTATAGATATGTTAAATGACCATGCCAGAAGTTAGCTGCAAAGCTGTTGCTAATGCAAAACAGCTCTCAATGGCCCTGCTCCATTTGTCCCTTCCCCCAACCCACACCTGGGGGTGGGGTGAGGACATCCTAATATTTCCTGAACACCTTGAGTTCTGAACCCCATTCCAAATCCCTATTTGGGGTCCCCCTCTTGATTGCACCCTGTTACATTGGGTCTGCCCAACAAATCAATATTTCTCATGGGGCTCCTGGTCTGCATCCAGCCTGGGCTTAGGTCTGGGAGTGAAGAAGGGGTGTTGGACAGTCTTAAGGGGCACAGATAAGAGCCCTGGGGAAGCACTTAGTGGCAGAATCAGCACAGTTTCACAGAGGCATTGCTCAGCATGATCTAGCTCACACAGATGAAACAGTGTGGAAAGGAGCATTCCATAGATAGGAAGTGCATGTGCCAAGGCACAGAGGCACACACGAGCAGGGCTGTGCATACAAAAGCACATAGGACCAGGGGCACTGTGTGAATATAACTATATAGCATTAGTACAAGCTAGGTCACAGAGGCAGGAATGGACAGTACCATGAGAGGCCTCAGATGTTATGTCAAGAAACTTATCCAAACTTTCTGAGGAGTGGCTGAGGACCAGAATAAGTGACTTGCTGCTGACTAACACAGCTTTGTCTCCATGGACTCTGCCCTCTCCCTTCAACCTGGTCATCTGAGCCACCACATCCTGGTGAGTCCTTAACCTGTCCAATCCTCCCCTGCTCTCCATTGTCCAGAACCTGTCATCTCTAGCAAGGACTGTTGCAGTGGCTCCCTGTGGACCCCCAGCCTGTGGGCATCCTTCCCCTCCAGCTGCTAGAGTTGATTACATATCAATATCAAATTTGGGGATCAGTGGACAAAGGTCAGGAGCCAGTCCAGACTCTGGACTCCAGAGTGGTGCCTACCAGGGCACAGTGGTGATTTTCAGGGGCACAGAGCCTGTTTCTCACCATCCAACATGCTCTCAAGCTGGGAACTGCTTACATGAGGTGGTTGGAATTCGGGTATTTAGTGAGACTGGTGTCATGGAAAAACATGGGCTAAAGACACACAGCCCTGGATTCAGACACCTGCTTGGACAGTATTATGTGAATTTGGGTAAGTTATTTAACTTTTCTGTGCCTTACTTTCTTTATCTGAAAAGCCATGGTAAGAGCACCTGCCTCAGAGAATTTAAGAATTAAGTAAGATGTTGAATATAAAACACTACGCAGGGCACATAATAGGTACCTAATAAATGATAGTGATTACTGTGATTGCATTTCTTTGGCAATTTTTAGGACCTTGAGGTTGAGCCTCTCCCCAAAAGCCCCACTGTATACTCTCTTTAAATTATACTAGTATTAAACAAACACTGCAATTAGCAGAGATTCACTACTCAGTGAACAGTTTTTCAGATCTTGTGTGTGCAGACCCTGAACTAAATGTTTCACACTCATTCTTATTCCAGTTACCTTATTAAGGCAGCAGAGAAAGTTACCATCCCTAACAGGCATCTCCCGGATGGTCCGGTCTCCTGAGGATCTGAACACTGCAAGGCGGTGCTGTCCTTAAGACACACCTTTCTTTCAACAAACAGTTGGAACTCTGAAATCCTGAAGCGCCTCCCTGGCCCTTCTGGCAGGAAACAGGGCATTGCAGGTCCCATTGGACAAACCCAGGAGGGGTCCTTGGCCTGCAGGGGTCTCCGACAACCTCTCGCCAGGAGCACTCTCCCACTCCCGCTCCTCGCCACCCCCCACCCCCCCCGCCCTCCAGCCTTACCTTCACAGTTGAGATTTCCCAGCGGCCTCTCGGTGTCTCTGGCGCTGCCAGACTAGCACTCCCAGAGCAGAGGGCGGGTCGCAGCCCGGAACCGCCTGCGGCCAAGACAGATCTTCCAGTTCTCCTAGTGGACCCGCCCTTGCACACGCCCCGTTGAGGACTTGAGAGGAGAGCCCCACTCCTGCTGAACTCAGGTCCCGTACCTACAGCGCCCGAGCACCCTAGCCGGGGTGGGGGGCAGGGGGCGGGCAGCCAAGCTGCCCCGCCCTGGTCCAGTGATTGATTAGTAGACGTTCTGAACCTCTCAATGTTTCTCTTGAATGAGAATTAATTCTGGAATGAATAAATAATGCATTGAGATTTATGTAGTCCGAGGCAAGCCAGCGGTCCGGAGCCAGGAGATAGAGCCCAGGGAGCCTCACTGGTGACGCCAGTGGCCACTGGGGCAAGAGGGGCAACTGGGTGAGGAAGAGAAAAGGAAAGTGATGACAGCATGATCGGCTCAGTGACTCTGGCTGGGTGGCTGCAGGAACACGCTGAGCCCAAAGATCAGGCAAGCCAGGAGGGGTAAGTTCAACTTCATGTGGTGGATCTGGACACACTGTGCGTGAGTCTCTTGGCAATGTATGTGGACACTTTCCGGCTGCCAAACTGCTGGGCAGATGGGGCAGGTCTTCTGGAGACATCCTGGTGACAGGGAGTAAGGACCCAGGGGTCAATGGGAATCCAACTTGAAACAGCAAAGGGGCAATGGCTGTCTTAGTGCCCTAGTGGTATGTAGGCTTCACCTCGTATTCTGTGATGTGCTGAGTCCCTGGGTTGCTCAAAGTGACCAGGTGACAACTTTGGAGAAACTTTGTTCCTTTACTAAAAGAGAAATAAATGCTTGATTTTTAAAAAATATTTTATTTATTCATTTTTAGAGAGGGAAGGGAGAGAAAAAGAGAGAGAGAGAGAGAAACATCAATGTGCAGTTGCTGGGGGTCATGGCCTGCAACCCAGGCATATGCCCTGACTGGGAATCGAACCTGCTACACTTTGGTTCGCAGCCCGTGCTCAATCCACTGAGCTACGCCAGCCAGGGCAGAAATAAATGCTTGATTTTTAAGATTTGTCCCAGCCGTCAAAATAAAAATGGCTCTCACTAGGAAAGCAATACTCCAGCTTCCCGAGTCAGCCAGGTCCAAGTGAGAGTCTTCATTCGGCAGCCTGGGGGTGCTGCTCTGTAGAGCCTGAGAAAAGCAATTCCTCAGGCAGCTGGGGTCAGACACTCCCCCAGAACACCGTGTGGCCTCAAGATGACCTCTGGGACCAATTGAAGCATAGAGGGGAGGACAGATCCAGAGATAGCAAGAGATATGTGAGTCAGAGGGTCTTGCAGGGATGATCCTTCAGAACTGGACTAGCACCCCAGATACCCAGTGTCTCCACAGAGTGGCCTGGAGACTCAGGACAAGCCTCGGAACTAGAGACAGCATCTTCTGGACAGCAACTTCTTGGCTAGGACTAGTGTTTTAGATGAGAACATCTGTCTCTTAAGAACATAGAATGTGTCTTTTCAGGTGGTCAATGTTTGCGGAGGGCTGAGCCTCCTTGTGAGCAGTGTGTGAAGGTGGTTTGGAAGTGGGTGGAACATCTGCCTGGGGAGCTTGGAAACAGTGTGAATCTCACCCAGTGTGGGTGTCAGGGACCCTCCAACTCCTGTGAAGGCACAGGCAGCACATCCATCTCATTAGAATGTCACAGGCCCCTAGATACTTAGGGGAGAGGCTTGACCTCCAGGATGTACTCAGAGCCATCAGGACACTCCCACTAATGGGATGCTCAGGATGCAGTATCCCATCCTGAGATGGGGTACCCCCACAGGGCCCCTTTGAGTAAAGAAGGGCAGTACATGGCTCTGCTGAGGGATGGAAATGCAATCTGGTAACAACCCAATGGGTGAGCCAGGCCAGGCCCTCTGAGAGAGCTTGGATCTACCCTCCCATTCCTGCCTAACACATTAGTCACTGGCTACATATGGTTATTCAGTACTTGACACATGGCTACTCCAAACTAAGAAAAATACACACTACATTTTGATGACTTGGCAGAAAAAAATGCTAACTATCTCATTACTAATTATGTTATATTGATTACATGCTAAAATGACAGTGTTTTGGATATATTAGTTCAATCAAATATGTTTTTTAAATTACTTTCACCTGTTTTTTCTTTTACTTCTTTTTTAAATTTTTTAAAGATTGTATTTATTTATTTATTTATTTATTTATTTTCTTTTTTTAGAGACAGAAAGGGAGAAAGAAAAGGAAAGAAACATCAATGTGTAGTTGCCTCTTGCGGTCCCCCTACTGGGGGCCTGGCCCACAACCCGGGCATGTGTCCTAGACTGGGAATCAAACCAGTGACCCTTTGGTTTGCAGGCCAGCACTCAATCCACTAAGTCACACCAGCCAGGGCTTCTTTTACTTTCTTTTAATGTAGCTACTAGAATTACATATGTGGCTCACATTATATTTCTACTGGAAAGTGCTAGTCTAGAAAGAGATCAGTGTTTCAGTAAAAGGCTCTTAGGAAGCCTGCCTTTGAAAATCCATGCTTCTTATAAACAGTTGTTCTAGATCAGTGGGTCTCAACCAAGAGTTGCTACTGGCATCTAGTGGGTAGAGACCAGGGATGCTGCTAAATATTCCACAATGTAGAACATAGGCCCCAAGACAAAGAATTATCTGGTCCAAAATGTCAATAGTGTTAATTATCAGAAACATTCTACTAGATGATATTATCTGATAAGATATATTAAAAGATGAAATTTATGGTGCTATTCATCAGATATTAATAACTACCCACCCACAAAAATGTATGAACACAAACCATGACAAGAAGTGTTTGAAGAGCATAGACTACAAATGAAGTGTCTAGAGGACGTAAGTGGTGCTTGAGGTGTAGGCTAAAGAATGATGAGCAGCTAATTAGGCAAAGAATAATGGAGGGAGAAGGCTGCCTTCCAGGCAGGGGACAGCATGTGCAGGTGCCATGGGAAGGAAAGAAGCACACAGGGCCAGGAGGCTGGAGCTGGGGGCAGGAAGGGGCAGCAGGCACAGCTTTGAGGCTGGAAATGAAGTTAAAGACTGGATCGCACATGGTCAGGCTTGCAGCTTTTTAAAATATAACTTTCCATAGGGGCATTTTGGGAGCAATATAGACCAAAATTGTATATCTGTGCCTTGAAAAATTTGTGCATTAGTAAAGAACTTTCATCAAAATTCACCCCCCATTGAACCTTTAGGAATTGAGCAGGATATGTGTTATAAACATAGGAAGACATAATATGAAAATCTCAGCCCCCAGTATCCAGACACTTCCCTGTCCAGACTACTCCAGACAGTACCTATTCCAGATACACTTCCAGACTACACTGCTGTGTAGACACACACAGTTGTGTGAGAAAGGCTGGGCTCATTCTCTGGAATAGTTAGTAAAATCAATACCAGTCAGCCAGCTCAGAAGCTTCTGGGGCCTGGCCAAAGATTGCTCTGCAGTTAGGGACTTCCCAGTGACTCTTCTCCAGGTCATGTTGGCTGTTGACTTCTTGGCAAGTAACATTCCAGGCCAACCGTGAGTGAGCATACCATGGCTGCTTTCACCCTGAAGACCATCCTTGTGTCTCTTTCCCAGGGAGGGGAGATGCCAGGATTTAGAACCTCCCAGGAATAACCATTTACCTGGGACTACAAAAATAGGTTGGGGACTGCTGCTGTAGATGATTTGAGCTTGCCATTGCCTCCTTAGGACCAGTGCAGTATCCTCCTAGTTAGTCATGGCTTATTCAAGCCAGGACAAACCATTTAGAACGAGGTGTGGCTGACTCTTTCCCACTAGGCTCCTATGTGGTTCTGAGGGTCCCTTCCAGAGATCCCTTTCTAGTGCCACAATCTTGCAAGTGCTTCCTCCACTGAGTCCCATTGCCTTATTTCCAGAGTGAAGAGATAGCTCCTGCCAATTTTCCCAGAATAAAAATAGGATAAATTCACTAATACACCATGAATTTTTTCCATATATATTGGAGCAGGTCACCAATCGTGCTATGTGACACTTAAAAGCTGCGGTTTGTTTTTCAAGATAGAAAATAAAGACGTAAGCTAGGTGCCCTCTCTCTGGGAGCGATGTGCAAACTTTGAGTGACCGTTCATAGTTTTTCAGAGTGAGGAAGGGCTGTGAAGCCCCAGGCCGTGATCTCATGCCTACTGCCACAATCTGCAATCGTAGGCTCTTCAGGCCTCCTCCTCTGCTCACTCAACCCCTAGGGCACCTGGTTTATCACCATCTCTCCAGGCCACAGTCAGAACAGAACCCCAAAATGCTTGACAGTGATGCTACCCCAACCAATTGGGATTCTCCCTCTTTCTGAAATCCCATTCTCACAGGGCTTGTTTCTTCAAAGATTTGTGTATTCTGCAAACTGAACTGAGTCTTCCTCTGTGCCCATTACCGCCACCCAGAATAAAGAGCAATATTTATTGCTCTGGCCCTATCCTGCTCCATGAGGATGTGTTATGGGAGGCAGCCCTGTTGCTTTACCTCCCAAAGAGATCTTGACTCTGCCTGTATCACTTATCCTCATGTCCTCACTCTCCCTCAGCCATCATTATCTCTAACTACACTATGGCATTAGGACTCTGCCTCAGCCAACCCACCTCATGTATTTTCCATTCCAAAATCAGAGTCATCTTTTAAAATGTAAATCCAGCCATGCACCCACCTCCAACCCCAACTGGGAATCCAGAGATCTTACCGTGACCCACAAAGGCCCTCTTACATTCTAGCCACTGACCAAATCTCCAGCTTCCTCTTCCTCTCCAAGCTCCAGCCACACTGGTCTTGCTGTTCCTCAGCTGATGCATGGGCCTCCTAACATAGAGCCTTAGCATGCACTGTTTTCCCTACTTGGAATGCCTCTTTCTGTCTCTGTCTCACTGTCTCTCTGTCTCTCTCTCTGTCTCTCTCTCTCTGTCTCTCTCTGTCTCTGTCTCTCTCTCTTTCACACAAACACACACACACACACACACACACACACACACATCCCTTGACTTGGACTCACCCTCCAGTTCTCCCCTCAGGTGTAACCAGCCAAAGAAGTCCTCCTACATACCTCAGTCTAAGCTGGGGTCTTTATGCCTTATTTTCCTTTTTTTAACAGAATTTATCATGGATGAATTATAATTGTACACCCCTAAGTGGGTTTATCTGGTAAATAACTGTCACTCCACTTGACTCCATTGAGCTCCACTGAGAATAGTGACAATTTCTGTTTTTATATATTCTAATGCCAGGCACTTGGGAGGGGCATCCAGTAAAAACTTGGAATGAATGAATAAATGAATGAATGAAGCATTGTCTCTGCCACGTCCTGGACCAAATAACAGGGCCAGGTCCTTAGGAAAGTTGTCCCCTTCCTTGACTAACTTACATGTTGCAAATATTTTCCTCATTTGTTGCTCACCTTTTCAGGATTTATTTTTTCTTTTCTGCAGGTGTACATAAGTTTTCAATTTTATGTCATCAAT